CGATTAAAGGAGAGCCACTGATTAAGGAATCTAATGACTGGGACTAGTTGATAAAGGGACTCATCTCAATGGCCCTAATAAATGTACAAAATCATTACTAGTTATGATAAGCCTGGAGAATGGGAGGAAGAGACATGGTTTAATCCCTTAGTGTTGGCATGCAGGGCAAGGGCTAGAAATTTGAACGGGAATACTGAGCCCTTGGTTCCCTGAGGATGTTCAGGACTGACGCAAAGCCAGCCTTTCATCCTTTCAACATGGCTCTCACATCTTGGGAAGTGGACAGAAAGGGTTAGAGAAGAGAAGGAAAAGAAAAAGGGAAAAGGAAAAGATTGTGCAAAACTGGATGAGCCGGGGCTGAGACCTAATGCAGGGGAGGTCCCTAACATTGGGCCTCAGGTTCCATGTCCTTATGACCTAAAAATCAGCAATTTTCATCAAAATTTTTATGATAAACCAGCTAAAATCAATGGAAAAAAAGGCTCTGTGGCACCATAAGTGCTGTTATGAGCCTTACACTTCTTGATATGAAAATTAACCCACTAACGACGGGTGTCCCACATATGAGACATCCGAAAAAATAAACATTGCCGGGCGTCCTGCCAGTGTCACGCTGTATCAGGGCTTGCGCTCCAACGCAGCAGTGGGCTGCGGCGGGCGGGTGGGCAGAGCCTGCTAACTTTGTAGCTGCCCAGAATCTTTTATTTTCGGCTTCAAAATATACCAGCGTTACTGGGTTAAAGAGAGAGAGGAAAAATACATTTCACATCTCTAGAGTATTCACTGCATTTTGTGCTATTATAATTCATCAAAACACTAAAGGCACAAAATAAACACCTTTGATTCTTTATTTTCTGATAATTGTTAATATCATTATCATTTAACCCAGATCTAAAGTTATCAAAGAATTGTTTTGATTCATGCAGAATTGTGTAAACTCAATATCCATACCTAAATGTTTTTCAAAATACACACTAAAAGCAATACCAAAGGTGTGTTTTTTTTTAAGATAACTCAAATACAATTATTTTTAAGAGGCAACTCTTATGGGAGCATCCCCCATAAAAGTATTGAGAATGGAGCTAGCAGAAGTGGCTCTAAATCTAACACTCTTAACAGAAGCAGAATATAATTTTTTTTTTAAATGTCAGGATTACTTTTTGTTTGCTTGTTTCCCTATCCTCCCCACATTATATTTTTCAAAATTATAAAAACTGTCTTCAATATAAACAGAATTATATAAACCCAATGTTTATAATCAACTATTTTTCAAAATATTCCCTCAAAGCAAATAAAATCAACATTTTATGAATATCTTAAAATAAAAAGATGAAAAAAAGAAAGAAAGAAAGAAAAAAGGGTGGGTGGGACTTTGATTGAGAAAGGAAAAAGAAAGAAAGAAAAAAGCTTGGGGAGATCTTTCCAGAGTCAAACTTGTTAAAAAGCCATGTATTTCATCTAATCTAATCTAATGTAGAAATATGACTTATGTAACAATGTTTTCAAAGGCATAATCAATCCTTTGGATCTGGATGCTTCACTGCCATCACATGGCCATTCACGTCGGGGGTGACAAGACTCTATTCCTCAACTTTGCAATGTTATTTTCCTTTTTGCCATAAACATTTTTAGGATTTTTGGCTATTTCCAAAGTCTATATTTGTCATTTGATTTGCTTTATCCAGATGGTTACATGCTGTCTACCTTGAACATACTTGATATCACCTCTGTAGGTAGTGCATTTTTACATTTCTTCTTAATATTAAAATTTCTGTAAAATAACCTGTGCCACCAGTCATGGCAGGCAGGAATAGGATCCTGAGCACAGAAATGGCATCCTCCCTCAAACCAACCCTCTTTCAGTCATGGCTCCTGGATTGTACATACCACTCATTTATCAATGGAAATATTGCAAAAGTCCCTTCCTAAATATCAAATGAGCCTAACCACCCTCTAATAGCTTTGTGCACATATGGCAAGTCATTACTGTCACTGAAATGCTCATGATGGCAAGTTCTGATCACCCAGGCCTACTGCCAAATTTTCCCATGACAGTATGTTTGTAGTAGACAGGTTGTGCATCTACCACTTGAGTGATGTCTATATCTCTTAACCCAGTGCCGATGGGTAAACATGTTTGGCAAGTGAACGTAAGAACGGGATTGTTGGCACGCATTGGCAGTTTCCCCGTTTACGTCCGGCTCGATTGGTAGTTTGCGAGCGACATTTAGCACCTAAAAGCTTTTATTTTGCGACAATTTATAAAAATATTAAAAATTTTAAGGTTTACCTTCATTATAGGTGCCATTGGCTAAAATCTTTACCATATAAATGAAGCCGCTACTATCGGAGAAAAACAAACTGTATCCGATGAGCCAGTGGCACGGGAATGGGCATGATATGATGCCATCCATGTTTCGGTCCACAACAGCCATGGCATGTGCGTACATGCCACCCATCGGCTACGGGTTAAGGGAGTGTTTGTGTGGGTGCGAGCTCCCACAGGTATGTCTGGGTTCTGAAGGTGGGTGGAGATCAAAGGGGGAGCCAGAGAGGCTCCCCAGTGGCTGCTGCTTTGCTGTAGAGACTGCTGGATGATCTTGAAACAATGCTAATCTCATTCCGGATTTTGCATCTTAAGCACACTTGGGCTGAATAAGTGAACAGGGAATGAAGGGAGCCTGTAGTCCAATCAGAGAGCCATGAGGTGTCCGGGTGAGCCAGGCAGGTCTCGGCAGTGAGTTGTGAGAAACGCCTGCTCGTGAGTGAGAATGGACATGGCTGTGGACCTGGTTGACCCAAGCTGGGCAACTATGCCGAGCTGCAGGTTGCGGGTCATGGTTGATACATGTTCACGCAATCCGCCCCACAAGGCATTTTTTTTTATCCAGATTGTAAGGGTTAATATTTTTACACAGTAAATTTATAATATATAAAAATACTATCTGATAAAATAGATAAACATTATCTAACTTTATTGAGACTTGAGTCTATTTTGATTTCACTAGTCTTTCAATATTTGTGCTTACTGCCTTACTTGCACACTTCTCATTCAATATGCCACAGACTGGCCACCGCTGCCATAACGCTGATGCCTGGCTGTCTGCATGTGGGCCAAAATCCTCTGCATTAAGCTTACTTAAGTGGTGACTCACCCCAGTGTGTGGCTTATATATGATGAAAATTTCACTCAGACCAGGTAATATTTAATCACTAGCCTAGGTCCCAATGCCAGGGACAAGGCCTCAGGAGCCTGGTCATGAGCTAGACAATAAGTGTAGAGCATGCATGCTTTGCCATTCTTTGTTAGAAATTGTACATATTTTGTATGGTTAAAAAAAGCAAAACGAAGCAAAAAATTACTACTACTACACTAATGATACTGAATGCCTACTAAAATATTACACAATCCAAAAGATTTTCCAAACAAACTTACTTGTTCCAATCTGGAACCTTTGGTGTCGAGGACTGTAGAATTGATAAATATTCATCAATCTTCAGTTCATCCCATCTTTGGACAGTTTTATTTACCTAAAAGTGAATAAATCATCATTAGCTTTATTGTTATGCTTCTATAAAAAGTATCTTTATTTTTTCACAGCTATAAAGATCATACAACTATAAGAGTCATACCTGGCTATTTTAAATATGTCATTCAAATCCCTATACTGTACAGGGGTCTTCTCGTGGTTACTCCCAGTATTGCCATTGCAAAGTCTTTTTCCTAAATACAACGTACACCAAGAAAGTGATGCTTACATTATACATTTCATATTTTAGGCCACATTTAAGTGCTTTCAAACCAACCTACCCTTAACTTCAGAATGAATGGTATTTCAGCTTAACTGCCAACTTCTGGAATATTGTGATACTGATACTAACATGGCTTCCTTGGAGAAAAGAACTGACCGATCATTAGCTGAATACAAATTAATAACAACTGTAAATACAACTGAACTATTGTAAAAGCTGACAGTACTGTTTGAATGAGGGATTTGCTGGATACAAGCTTACAATCTTGCCACTACTCAGATTGGTCTTAGCATGTATATGGCCTAGAATGCAACCTAATCTTAATTAAAGAAAACAGAGAAGAAAAAGAAGAAATCTCAAACTCACTCACACACACATACTGTCTTTTGCATATATCTCGTAAACTAAAAACAAAAAATCTACCTTTCTCAAGATTCTGAAATATTTGTCTTTACGATGTCTTATTTCTTGATGCAGTGTAGCGGAGAGGATTGCAGCCTCACGTCTCCAACACCCAATCACCTCATAATGGTTCAGGGCTGCATGGCCACAAAGAATGGCTTCTAACAAGGCTTGGAGACAGACATCTGCAAGTCAAAAATACAATTAGAAGACCTGAAGAAATGAAAGATGCATATACAAATGAAGAATATTGTACAAGTTCCCTTACAATTAAAAAGTATATATAATGTGGTGTCTATGTGATGGGGGATGAGAGAGAGAGAGAGAGAGAGAGAGAGA